CTCCAATCTGGGAACCTTCAGGGGATGTCTGCCTGCCAGTTGGACATTCCTCTTGCAATCTGGGACTGCTGGCTTCTAACCACTCAACTGTCTGCCTGCCTGATCATCCCTAATTGCCCTCTCCTGCCAGCCTGATCTCACCCCCAACTGCCTCTGCCTGCCTGATTATCCCTACCGACCCTCTCCTGCTGGCCTGGTTGCCCCCAACTGCCCTTCCCTGACAACCTGATCACCCCTAACTGCCTCTGCCTCAGCCCCACCACCATGGTTTTGTCTGGAAGAAAGTTGGGTGTCCGGAAGATGGCCAATCAACCTGGTCTAATTATCATATTACCTTTTCAGTAGTATAGATAGTTTATATAGGATAGGCTTGCTTAAATGGGGGTAGGGGAGGACGGACCTTTTTCAGCAGGAGGAGATGCTCTTGGCAGACACAAATACATAATCCCTATATCTGGACTGATAGCCAGCCTTATGCACTATACTACCAAACTGGTCATGAAAAAAATTGAACTATTTTTTTTACACCTTACACCAAACAGCTATTGCCCTTAAAAACCCTCCTCGGCCCCCACCTTAGGTTCTGTCTTCACAGTTCACCCAGATTAGGTTCTGATTGGTCAATTTCTATGCCAGTCAACGTCAAAAGCTCCACCTTCTAGACAGCCATTGGCTCCTGACACTTCACCCAGACTTGGTTCTGATTGGTCAGTTTCTATGCCAGTCAGTATCTCTGAGCCTATCTCTGGGTGTGATCAAAGAGGAGGGTACTGATCAGCCCCCAAGGAGTCCTGGATAGAAACAGAGGTGCTGCTAGTAAGGTTGGGAGAGAAAAAGGGAGGCAATGGCAGATCAACAGTTGCCATGGAGGCTGGGGATCAGATCCTGCCTCTCTTTCTGCAGACCTCTTTCTGGGCCTGATCCACAGCAACTGGGCAGTCAGTGGTGGGTCACTGCACCAGCACCAGCTCCAGTCAGTGCTGGGTCACCACGGCAAACCAACACTGACTTCCAGTATTTGGTGGAGCCTTGATCGTTAAGGACCCTGGATCTTTTAATAGAGAAATAATGCCGTTAGCATCTGTAGTGATATGCCCTCTTTCATTCCTTATAATTTGTGTCTTTATGAGGAGTTAATTTTATCCTATCTACAATCTAATAAACTAGCCTTCCACAGTTTCATGAAGACTTACAGAAGACACGAGACTCCTGGACAAAGACAAAGAAATTCTTTACAGCAAAAGTAGTTGCAAATGCCAAAGCCAGTTTGGCTCAGTGGATAGATCATCGGCCTGCGGACTGAAAGGTCCAGGGTTCAATTCCGGTCAAGGGCATGTACCTTGGTTGCGGGCACATCCCCAGTAGGGGGTGTGCAAGAGGCAGCTGGTCGATGATTCTCCCTCATCGATGTTTCTAACTCTCTATCCTTCTCTCTTCCTCTCTGTAAAAATCAATAAAAAAAGTAGATGCACAAAAATGACCAATCCAGAAATAATATAAAAAGAATAATTTCATTTACAATAACATCAAAAAGCATAAAATACTTAGAAGGAAATCTAACCAAGGAAGATTTATACACTGAAAACTACAAAACATCACTGAAGAAAATTAAAACAGACACAAATAAATAGAAAGACATCCTGGATTGGGAGACTCAATATTGCTAAGATGTTAATGTGACCTAAAGCAATCTACAGATTTAATGAAATCCCTACCAAAGTCCAAATGGCATTTTTTTTTTTGGTAAAAATAGAAAAATCCATTCTAAAATTCATATAGAATTTCAAGGGACTCTGAATAGCCAAAAACATCTTGAAAAAGTACAAAGTTGGAGGTCTCACACTTTATGATTTCAAAACTTATTCCAAAGTCACAGTAATCAAAAGAGTATGGTTCTGGCATAAGACAGGCATATAGAACAATGAAATAGGAAAGAGAGCTCAGAAATAAGCCCTCACATACATGGTCAAATGATATGACCAAAGGAAAAAAAAAATGTAGTTGCCATAGTATTAGCATCATTGTTCCAGTTTCTTGAGCCCCAGGTATCACAGAGCGATGTGGAGGACCAGATAAAAGTCCGAATTTGTAATGGGTCGGCCACAGAAGAGGAACTCTGAGTTTAAGGAATCCATTACTTTTATGGCAAGCAGTAAGGAAGCATTCATTCCCTTTGTACAGAGGGAGTCATTACTTCATCTCTCATATGGAATCTCAAGGGACCTTGTCATCTCTCAGGCTTACCAGCTTCATGAAGACTCCTGAGAAATGGTTCAGGTAAAAAGGGTTTAAGATAGTGCTGGGACATGATGTCTTTGGTAAAGGTATGCACATGTCTGCACATTAGCAACATTAAAAACATCTCCAAATTAAAAAAAAAACAACAACACCATTGAGCATCTTTATATCCAGTGCTTTGAACTCTTTCGGATAGAGTGTCCAGAAATTCCTTATCTGAAGCTCTGTACCTAGCTTATAAATAAAGGCTGCTTCTTTGTGTCATCCAGATAAGAGTAGGATGTTTCATTCTTATTGATATGACTTTAAACAGCAAATTTTCTGACAGTCTATGATTTTAGAGAAGGGTCTAAGTAAGAAAGCAGCAGTCAAAGGGATTTTGATGACACTTCACACCTACTGTCTGACCTTGGAAGAAATACTGTTTCCTTTAACTTTGCAGCTGGTTTTATCTGTGTCTTTTGTTATACTAGTAAAACAAGACAGCATGCCCCAAATGGAGTGGCTTATGCTAAGCCCCATGTCTCCAAATGAAAACTTACATCTCAGCACTACTAGAATCAGACTCAAACCAGTCAATCAGGAATCACTCAGTCATCACTAGTTAGGTAATCTGCCCCACCAGTCCCTGGAAAGGAATTGCAATAACCATTCTGCTTTGTTTTTAAAATAATTTTTAAAATTGATTTCAGACAGGAAAGGAGAGGAAAAGAGGGATGGAAACATCAATGATGAGAGAGAATCATCAATTGGCTTGCCTCTTGCATGCCCCCTATTGGGGATTGAGCCCATAACCCAGGCATATTCCTGGGTTCATGAGTGGACGATCAACCACTGAGTACACCGGCTGGGTGCAACCTGCTTATTTTTTTTTTTAAAATATATATTATTGATTTTTTTACAGAAAGGAAGGGAGAGGGACAGAGAGCTAGAAACATCAACTAGCTGCCTCCTGCACACTGCCCACAACCAAGGTACATGCCCCTGACCGGAATCAAACCTGGGACCCTTCAGTCTGCAGACTGGTGCTCTATCCACTGAGCCAAATTGGTACCTGCTTTTTGCCTGCATAATTTCCTTGTTCCCCCTCCCTTCTACATAAAAGACTTACTTTTTACAGCTCCCTTTTATCTGCTAGATTGGATGTTGCCTGATTCAAATCAACTTTTGCTCATCTAAACACTTAAAATTTTTAAAAAATTGGCCCAGTTTATCTCCCCCCCCCCTAGTTTATCTTTTAACATACCCCAGTGTAATAAATGGCCAGTCTTGATTTTCCAAAGAGAGCTGATATTTTGCTTTCTCAGTGCAAACTCACCACACACAAGAGCGTGTTCCTAGGCTGTGTGAACTTGATAATAGGCTGGAAAACCATAGACATTGTTCAGTTTGCTTTTCTCTCTACTCAAAGTGTAAATGATAATAAGGTAGAGCTACAGAAACCCTAAAAATCAAGGCCACTCTTCCCTCCACACACTCACATTCTTGTTTCTCTGTCTCCAGCCTCCAAGGTGCCCACATGTCACACTAAGGTCAGGTGACCAGATTTTAACATTGGTAAAGCAGGACAGCATTGGAGGTGGGGTGGAGGTGGGAAGTGATGTTCTTGATTAAAAATTTGGTCTGTATGGAGCAACAAAAATTTTCATAGAACGCAAAAATAGTATTGTAATATATATATATATATTTTTAAATTTCAACATAAGTACAATTTACAAATGTAATAAATAAAAAATTATGTATAGTATTATTTTATTCTTTGGCATATTTCTCATTTGAGTGAATTTTTTTAGTAGATTGCTGTCATTGTTTAAAAGGTCATGAAATTTTTCGCAAGAATTTGTTAAATTATATTTCACACATAAAATGGCTTTCAAAGTCTCAACGCTTCATTGTGATTTTTCTGATGCCTTAGAAAAAAACGCCTTCAGTCGCAGCCTTAGTTCCTGGTAAGGACAGCGGCGTATTCCACAATTCTAACAACTAATCAGCAATGTGAACTTGGATAAGCAGTTCTCGATAATCAGTTCTCAACGATTATTAAAGCTATTATTAACGTTTAACATTATAAAATTAACAAAAATAATATAAAACTCATATCCTGGCTAAAAAGCCACGTGGCCGCCGAACACCATATATTCTCTTCCCGTTCTCCCGCCGTTCCCTAGCTCGTCGTGCATTCTTTCCAAAAATCCGGGCTTTTTGAAAACGCCGCCGGACGCGGGACAGGTTGTTGGAAATCGGGACTGTCCCGCCCAAAGCGGGACGCCTGGTCACCTTACACTAAGGGAGTGAGAAACAAAAGAACCAGTGAGACCCTCCCGGCTCCAAATCAAAGTCCTGGCGGCCTCTCCGGGGCGGGGGTGGGAGCCCCAGCTGGGGAGAAGGGGGCGCTGCGGGAACCGGTCAGTGTAGCCGCCTTCCCTGTGTCCTCCCCGCGGAAAGTCTGCGGCTGGCGGAGTAGGGGAGAAGCCAAGTCGCCAAACCAGACGGCCACCCACCTCCAGGGTTCTGCAACCCCCCAGATCTCGTCCAGCTCGAGCCTTGGGGCTCAACCCAGCCCCCTGACCCTGCCTCCCTACGCTGGGGACATCCCTCAGCCCGGCCCCGGCCCCCGGCCCCGCCCCCGCACGGCTCCCCGGAACCCGGCGGCGGTGGGAGCTGCTCCCCCGCCGGGCCCGGAGGGGGCGGACCCCGGCCAGCAGCTGCGGGGCCGGAGCGGCGGGGGGTGAACGCCGCCCGGAAGCCGGGGGTTCGCGGTCATGGCTCAGTCCGCCCGCGTCCTCTCGCTGCTCCGCGGTCGCCTGGGCCGAATGGGGGCGCCGGGGGCGGCCGGGCCCGCGTTCCGGGCCTTTCGGAGCAGCGGCGCGAGGTACCAGCTCCGCGGGACGCCGGGTGTCCCCGGGTCTGCGCGCTCCGGGGGGTGGGGTGGGATGGGGGGAAGGCGCGGTGCGGGCGCTCGTGGCGGGCGGAGCTTCGCGCTCCGGGCTCCGGGCTCCGGGCTGCGGGGCGAGGCCTTCCCGGCGCCGAACTTGGCCTCCGGGACCACGAGGCCTGTCCGCTGGGCGCGGAGCCGGGCCACTCGGACGTGCTTGGTTCTGGGCTTCGGCACCAGACTGTCCCCTCTTCGCCGCTGGCGCCGCGGGGTGATTGGTGCGGACATCCGAGTCCCTGGGGAAAGTTGCCGTGAGAACGCGTGGTCTGCTCCTTCCAAACCTTTCTTTTTGTTTGTTTGTTTCTTTGTTTGTTTGTTTGGGGTATTGTCCTGGGTAAACAAAGGAGCGGGCGCAGTCCCACGTGGGTGGTTTTGAGCGTTTGCATTTCTGAATTCCTTTGTTGGTCCTACGGAGTTAGGTCGTTTCCAGCTCTAACATCCTTATTGATTTTCCAAGTCAGACGTTAATCTTGATTTCTCAGTCTTCTTTTCTGGACGGCCCTTCCCAAACCGCCTTTGAAGCGATGAGTCTTGTGTTCGCTGCATCTCGGTGGACCTTGTTGCTGGCTGGTTTGGGAATACAGAACAGCACGGTTTTATCACGACCCTCCTGTCCTTTACAAACGCAGATCGAAGGAGTTACTTTGTACCCTCTTGTCCCCAAGCGAGTGAGAGCTGAAGAGAGTCTGTTTCCAGACTTAGGGTCCAGGGCTTCCAGGAATGAATGCGCCGCTTTCCCTGGCCAGAGATGGTATGGTGCCTTGTTAGTCTTGTTGCGTCTCCATAGTTCAGCGTAATTCCTGGGAGAAAGTGATGACCAGTCATGGGGAAATATAGCTGCTGCTTATTTAATTTAAAAGCCCCCATTGCATGCATTTGGATGTAAGTCTTGAGTAGCTGAAATAAAAGTGATTTCCTGTAGGGTGTACTTGGGAAGGCAGTTTTTCATGACAAGGTCTGGCACAAGAAGGTGTGAGAAAATAACCGATTCAGAGTTCTGGTTGTGTAAGCTCTTGTAGTGGCTGGAAGAGTTTGACAGCTGTTTGGAATGACTCGCTTTGTTACCTAGGAAAAGGAGATTCTGGAGAATTCGATTTGCATTACAAAATTGAAGGAATTATCGACTGTGGTTATTTTATCTACTGATTTAGATTTTTTAAAAAATTTTAGTGTTTGAGGGCTTCTTTCCAGGATGAGGTTAACTTTTTTCAGATTGTACAAGTTGATGAATTTCTCTTAGCCAGCTTGATGTAATCAACACCTTCATCCTGTCCTCCCCATGTGCATTCATTGAATGGGAATACAACAGTTGCAACCCAAGTGTTTGGTTGTTGACAGTAGGTTTGTACAGATGCCTCTCCCCCCACATGGATAATTTAGATCTTTTAAAAGTTTTATGTAGTAGCCTCTTTATAACTGAAAACTAGAGGCCCTGTGCACAAGATTTGTGCACTGGCGAGGGTGTCCCTCAGCCTGGCCTGTGTCCTCTCAAAGTCTGGGACCCCTCGAGGGGGTGAGGGGGAAGTTGGATGATGGCTTAGACCCGCTCCCTCGAGCTTTCTGTGGGGCATCCTTAGCAATGCTTTTGAAGAAGGAGAGGCTCCTGCCACGCCATTGCCGCTGCCCTCACCAGCCATGAGCCCAGATTCTGAGCAGCACTCCCACTGTGGGAGCACACTGACCGCCAAGGGGAAGCTCCTGCATTGAGTGCCTGCCCCCTGGTGATCAGTGCACATCATAGAGACCGGACATTGCACCATTTGGTCGATTTGCATATTAGCTTTTTATAACATAGGATAGGATAATCAAGTGTAATGATTTTAGAAAGCTTTTCGTAATAAAGATAAGAACTGTTATTTCGACCCAGCCTTCAGCCTCATTTGATGCAGATTTTAACTGTGCATAACTAAACAATACTTTTGAAAGTTTTTATTTTTTGAAAGCAGCACTAAAAGTTAGGATAGGGTGGTGTCTTTGATATCCTCCTGTTGGCACTGAATACCAGATGTAAACGTGAGGATGGCTGTAAGGTTGAGAAACACCTGTGGACTGGAGTGTCTCTGGTGGGGAGGAATTCGGACAGTGTGTTGATGTCTCTTATTGGTGTCTCTTTTCTCTTCTAGGGCCAGCAGAGAGAAGAGATTCCATCTTCCAGAGGTCGCCACTGTCTGCCTCCCCACTGGTCCCCATCCTCAGTCATCATTTTTAAATGTATAGTGTGACACATTAGTTACCTAGGTCTTCAGAGTGAATGTGGTCTAAATCTGACTTCATTCCCATTGACTTAAAATTTGAACCTTAGTGTTATTCTTAACTGAAAATTGTCTTTGAGTATGATAAACTCTCCACTGAAAAATATTTACTATTTGAAGTTAACGGATTTTAGTGTCATTTTCTGAGTTATATTAGAGCCTTAAATGAAAGATGAAATTTTTAAAAAATATTTTTGAATAATTAGATATCTTCAATAATGGATATGTAAATATGGCTTTAGTGGAGATTTTTTTTTTTTGACAAGTGAAATTTCAAGTGATAATGTTTAACAAAATTTGAAATTACAGAAATAACAAAATCTCGAAATATAATTTAGCATTTTTTCTCAATGGTTTTTCCTTTAAGATTTGCAGAGTACATCCCCTCCCCCCATTTATTTGTGAGAAATTAGATCTTATTAATGGGAAGAAAATATATTTAATGTCAAAGAAATAAATTAACTTCTATTTGTTGCAGCTTACTGTTTCTAAAATGAATTCCCTAAGTAGCCCAAAAGTTAAATTTTTTTTTTCTTGTGATTAGAGTTTTCCTACTTCGTCTTGCTATGCGAGGAGCTTACAAATTAAAAATGTCTTTGGGTTGTAAACATCACATAAGTCTGTCTCAGTGCTTTTCAGTATATAGAGCCAGGCAGGACCGATCGTATTTGAAGGGGAGGTTCCACACAGACCTTTTATTTTTAAAAATATACCTTTATTGATTTCAGAGAGGAAGGGAGAAGGAAAGAGAGAGAGAAATATCAATGATGAGAGAGAATCATTGATTGACTGCCTCCTGCTGCACATCCCGTAATGGGGATCAAGCCCACAACACAGGTATGTGCTCTTGACTGGAATCGAACCTGGGACCCTTCAGTTCACAGGCTGATGCTCTATGAACCAAACCAGCTAGAGCCCACATAGGCCTTTTAAATTAAAGTCTTGCTCAAAGCAGATTTGCAACAGGGACTTCCACAAACCCTGCTTCAGATAATCCTACGTGAACTAATTTTCAGTAAATGGATATCCCAAGTTTTTGTTTCATGTTTACCCTAAAATCATTAATTTGGCAGATTTTTTTTTTCCCTCCTGCTATGATTCCTTTTAGCATTTATAAAAATTTGTGTATTGGCCTACAGCTCTTTATAGAAGCCTCACCTTTCTTTTTGTCTCATTGCCAATGGCTTTATAATTTTTGCAGCGTAGCTAACATTAAAAACAAAACAAAATACCCTACATTTTGGACTTAGAAAAAAATACTCGTTTATGTTATTTAAATACTAATGTCTTATAAAGTAGGTAGTTGAATTTAATAATTAAAAACCAAGTTTTGTTGAAACCGGTTTGGCTCAGTGGATAGAGCGTTGGCCTGCCTGGGTTTGATTCTGGTCAAGGGCATGTACCTTGGTTGTGGGCACATCCCCAGTAGGGGGTGGTGCAAGAGGTAGCTGATCAGTGATTCTCTCTCATTGATGTTTCTAACTCTATATCCTCTCTCTTCCTCTCTGTAAAAAAAAAAAAAAAAAAATCAATAAAATATATTTAAAAACAAAAGCAAACAAAAAAACCCCCAAGTTTTCTCATGAAGGCTGTTCATTTTTCTTCAGATTTTCCCCTCTTATTCATATTTATAGAAGAATTTTTGGGGATGATGGCTATGTTCATTTTCTTCATTTCGGTAATGGTTTCCCAGGTATATAAGTATATTAAAACATCAAGTTGTACACTTTAAAAGTGAATTAAAAATCCGAGGAACAGAATAAATTGGTGAATATAATAGAATCGGGCATAGAATGGGAGGGGATTGATAATTCTCAGGGGAAAGGGGTGTCTGTGTGGGGGTACGGGAAAAGACTGTACAAAAATCATACACCTATGGATGAGGACCGCTTGGGGTGGGGGATGAGGAGGTAAGGGCAAAGGTTGGTGTGGGGACCAGGTAAAGGGGAGCTGTGGGGGGGGAGGGGAGGAGAAACAATTGTAATAATCTGAACAATAAAGATTTATTAAGATAAAAAAATGTGTGCAGCTTATTGTATGTCAATTATCCTATATATTAAAGGGCTAATATGCAAATTGTCCCCTCAACTGGGAGTTCAACCAGGGGGCAGCTGGCTGGCCAATTGCTTCAACCTCACCTTCTAGCAGGCCCAGCCTGGTCACCCCCTATCGGGGCAGGCCAGCTGGCCCCCACTCATGCAGGAATTTGTGCACTAGGCCTCAAGTACTTTAATAAAGCTGTTATAGATTTAGGACAATGAAGTAAATGTGACACACTGAATTCTCCATGAACTTCCATGTCTTGAAGCTATTAAATTTTTAGTGAAAAGTCAACAAAATTAGAATCAAAAGTACAGTTTACTTATAATTATAAGGTCTACTTTTAACTGTATTGTCTAACTAGCTTATTCTCTCAGTCAATTATTTACCCAGGGTTATGATTGTTATTAAAATTTACTTTTGTGTTGAACTGAAGAAGTGGCTTTCAAACACGGTCATGCATAAGAACACTGGGAACTTGCTAGATTTGTGGATTCCTAGGCTTCACCCTCTAGGGACTGTGAATTGTGGGTGTGGTCTTGGGGTCTGGGCATCTGCAAGTTCAGCAAGCTTCCCAGGCACTTTAAATGTATCTACCCACAGGCCACATTTTGGAATCATTTCTTTTCAGAACAATGTTTACATCAAAATTGTATGAACTTGGATGAGCACCATGGACCACTAGGGCCAGACTGAAATGGAGTGTTCTTGATCTGGTTCTACCTGTATTTACATCACCTATTAAAGAAGGCAGCTGACTTATTTGGAAGAGGAGCATGTTTGCACTTGTGTGTTGGCTGATATTCATTGTGCTCACATTTGTTAGAAAATAAAAAGTGTACAGATATTAGAAAGAACTAAGGTACTATAAGATTTTTCTTTCCTTCTTTTCTTCTGCTTCCTCCCGTTCCTCCTTTTCCTCTTCACAATATTCATTGGCCTGCATTTGGCATTTTGTGTAATAATCATGGTAGCATGAAGAAGGAATCATACTTTACTAGAGGTCTGATGCATGAAATTGTATGAAAAAGAGTAGGTCTGATGCATGAAAAAGAGTAGGCCTTCTGCCGAAACCAGTTTGTCTCAGTGGTAGAGCGTCGGTCTGCGGACTGAAGGGTCCCGGGTTCAATTCCCGTCAAGGGTATGTACCTTGGTTGCGGGCATATCCCCGGTAGGGGGTGTGCAAGAGGCAGCTGGTCGATGTTTCTCTCTCATCGACGTTTCTAGCTCTCTATCTCTCTCTCTTCCTCTCTGTAAAAAATCAATAAAAAATATATATATATTTTTAAAAAGAGTAGGCCTTTCTTCCCTTGGCTGCCTGCACTGGTTTCCTTCTGGCACCCAGGATCAGGTTTCCCTTGCACCTCTGGCTTTGTCCAGAAGGTTGTTGGGAAGGATGTCCAGTCTAATTAGCACATTATGCTTTTATTATTATAGATCAGGTACCTTTAAGAAATAAGCACAGTAAGAGTAACACGATTTATCACTTTTAAGTTTGACACCATGGTGAGCTGGCAAGCCTTCCCATAATGCATTTCTTTGTGCCTTTCCAGAGAGAGATTTATGTTACCTATCAAAGCATAGCATTTCTTACCTTTTTAAGTACTTCTGTAAACTGCCAGTAAGTAATGTTCTGTGAAGTTGTTCTTTTCCCGCATTAGAAATGATGCCATGGTACAGGGAATAATTGGGCCATCTTTACTGACCTGGTTCCCACAGTAATCCCTGACAAGCATGGCAGGACTGGCAGCTGTTGTCATGGAGCTGTCCTAAGGCTGTGGAATAGAGTTAAAAGAGTTGTGCAGTACAGAGTTCATAACTTCGGGTCTTGTGTAGGGCACAGTAACTAACAGTGAACACACTAGCTTAGGGTCGCAACACTGTGCGGTCACATACTAGTACTACATGACGTAAGACTTTCAAGATGGGTGTTAGTGTTTAACTAGACTGTGCTGATCTGCTTCTTCTAAAAAATAGCAGAGCTTTCAACAGAGCCAGTATTATAGTCCAGATCTGGAGTATATGGTTTCATAATTAAAAAAATCCATATTATAGTTATAAAGAAATGTATACTATAGACATAATGCAGATCTAAAACTAAAAAGCAGATTTAGAACATTTCACAAAATTATAACTATGAATCTGAAGAATTGGGTGTCATATATACTTGGAAAATCAAAATTTGGATGCTCACTTGGAGAACCACGAACATTTTAGTCATTCTTGTATCTTAAACGTACTTTGTTGAATACTCCTTACTGTCATCTTCAGTACTACATTTAATCTTTTATTCCCCATAGACACGATGCCATTATTATCTCAGGAACTGAAATGGCCAAACAAATCCAGAAAGAAATACAAGAGAGTGTGGAGTCCTGGATTTCCCTTGGGAACAGAAGACCTCACCTCAGTATCATTTTAGTGGGAGATAACCCAGCGAGCCACACCTACGTCAGGAAGAAGATCCAAGCCGCCTCTACTGTAGGTAGGGATGCTTTAGTTGTGCTTGTTACTAAAGAATGTTTCTGGTTTTAACTTCAAAGTGCAATAATGAATGATCATTGTCCAATAAGTGTTATTTGAATAACATTTATTATTATGATAGATTTTTTTTTTTTGTTACCAATGTTTGTTTATTTCTTACCCCTTGTCTTTAAATTTCTTATTGAATCAATTCAATGTGATTTCAGATGCTATGGTGAGATATGAGAGGAACACTTTACCCTTAAAAGGACCATTTTTATTACATTTGCTTTAATGAATAATAAATCTGGTCAGTTCACTGTGTCAAACTTGACCTGTCAGTGGTGGTGGTACTATTGATGTTTTTATTATATTCAAATTCATTATTAGTAGCTTATCACAAATAAGGGCAGTTTGCCACACAGGGTACTGGGCCAAAGAATGCATGTGAACCCTGTTTGAGAAATCCCATCTAATGATGCTTAGAACACCATTTTTGTAGAAGGGCCTTTCCTTCCCGTGGGACCGGAGCAGAAAAACCAGTTACACAAAGCACATCAAACGTGCAGCTGCCTGTGGCCCACAATGAATATTTTTGTGGCCCAGTCAAAATAATGGTGTGTAAGAAACATTTTAATACAAATTTCATAGCTTAATGTTTACAATATCCTGTTGTGCATAATTATTAATAATGAACTACAATGTTTGTTAAAAACTGATTACTATAATCATGTTGCATTCATTTTCCTCACATGCCTTATGTGCAGGCACACATTTCTCTCCACTAATACTAGCAGCGAATATTATAGCAGCCCATTGCCACTCATTAGTCTTGGACTGATTTATTTGGTTGCACAACAGGAAATATTTCGCTTTTGGAGAATAAGAGAAATAAGTTTATTTGTTTTACATTCATCAATTTGTGCAGTTACTCAGTATCCGGTAAACTAATGTTCAAGAAAAAATTATTAAAATGTTCTATTATTTTATGTTAACGATTACTCATTTATTTCAGCCCTTTGTATTTGGTATGTTTCTATCAAAATAAACCTATGTTTCTATGAAAATTAAGTGTTTTTTTTTGTGGCCCACATAAACTTAAACCTTGTTTATTTGGCCCATGTTAGCCTTTGTGTTGGACATGCTTGAGTTACACACTGTGTAAGACACCATAAATGAAAAGCATACACCTTTGTTAATCAGGTAATTGTCTGTGCTTGTTTTCTTCTAGGTATCTACAGTGAGGTTATTCTAAAGCCTAAGGATGTTTCTCAAGAAGAGATTTTGGATATAACCGATCAATTGAACATGGACCCAAGAGTCAGTGGCATATTAGTTCAGTTGCCACTGCCAGGTATTTAATACTTTTCGATATGTCTGCTTTGGTTAGGATAAAGGGCATCTTTCAACATTATGTCATGATACTGCAAGTAATTTATATAATTTGTTCAGAAGGGATCAGGCTATTACACTATTGTGTAATAGTGGCAATTTCTGAGTGACTTATGCTTACCATGACTGAAATTGTGAAAAAACAACTTAAAGATTGACAATACATGCATTCCCTACTTTGCACAGTATTTCAAGACTGTAAAATGACTGTGTAAGCTGAAACAAGGCAAAATGATCTTAATCAAGGGCAAAAATGACAATTGTTCTATGTCATTCTCAAACCATTATAAATTTACTCACTGTGGTTTGTAAATGTATAGGAAAATGAAAAATAGTAAAACTAGTATTTATTTAATACACTGTAGTTTAAAACATTAAAACATTGAGAAGAAAGTATTTTATTTCTTTACAAAAACCTTGTCAAGAGTTTGAACAGAACTTATCATCTTCTCATCGTATGACTTACAATATGGAACAAGCATCTTTTCTAAGTCTTGGTGACTTGAACTTTCATATTTCTTTTTAAGTTTGGATCAGCTTTCATTTTTCTGAGTGTCTTCAAAGTGAGGTTTTATGCCAGTGTCATTTTCTGTGGGACGTTATCATTCTTTTTGTCATAACTTTCCTCATTGATGTGATAAGTCCACCTTCTCTGAATTCCTGTCACTGCCTAGCTAAGTTGCTCAAAGGGTACAGTGTCAACATTCCAGTCACCTATTTCTTGTACAACCATTTATATTCAATTAGCACCTTATTGAAGCAACTTGAGCTTGTTTTTAGGTCATAGGTCTTACATTCAATTCATGATTGCCTACATTTTGTCTGTCTTTGCTTGGTTGTTACTATTTTCAGATCTATTCTATCCACTTTCAGCTCTAGCAACATCACATTTTGACTCTGCTGTACTTTTCCTCTTCATAGGCTAATTCCTTCTGTTGATTATTCACTTTGGGGAAATGCCATGATGTGACTTTACACTTCCAGACAAGGAGGCAACATGCTTTGCTGTCTATGTTTGCACTGAATACAAATGTGCAGTGACCTATCATTGATGGACTTTGAAAGAAGTGATATGTTGGTCACTGCTCCTGATGCTATCCTGTTTCCCCGAAAATAAGACAGTGTCTTATATTAATTTTTTCTCCCAAAGTTGCACTAGGTCTTATTTTCAGGAGATGTCTTATCTTTCCATGCACTAGGTCTTATTTTCGGAGGATGTCTTATTTTCGGGGAAACACGTTATATCTAAATAGGGATTTACGAACCAAAGCCAGCAGCTCTGACATAATACAGTTAATATACCTTGGTCACTGACATATGAACTGTGTTATTGAAGGACTGGTGTTAATTTAATTAGTTGTGTCTCTAAACTTTGTGCATTTTCAAGGAGCAAAGCAAGGACTGCTGATATAGTATAGGTTACATTAGTTTTGTGCAGTTTCACATCCTTCTGTAAGTTTTGACTTAGAGAAAATAAAGATGCATGATGCTTTGCCTCACATCTTTATATGGTGTTAATATTTTAGTTTCTTCAACAATATAAGCTAACATCTTAGTATGTTATAACTTCCATGCTGATTAAATTACACCAAAAATTTATATGTCTAATTCCAACATGGCTGCATTTAAAAAAATAATAAAGTTGGAAAAGATCTTGGAAGTTATCAAATCTTCAAGATTTGTGCACTGGGTAGAGTAAGGGAGTAGATAGGGGTGGACCCTCAGAGAAAGTGCTTCTAATAGGTAATAATATAGATTCATCATGTTAAAATTAGTATAATAATACATCACTTACTTTTAGAAATGGAAAGAAATTCAACATGTACAACACCTTCATTTCATATTATAGGAAACTGAGGTGTAGATATTATCAGGGGTTTACAAGAATCATAAATCTGTCTAAAATATTGGCAATGGGTTTAAACCCTATTATTTTGCTCATGCAAAAAAAAAAAAAGTTAAAAACTTTTTTTGGTACTGTATTTGCCAAGCAATCTATTTATAGTTTGCAGTTTATGAAATTTCTCCCATTTGCATTGTACTACATTGAAATCCTATATAATAAAACCCTAATATGCAAATTGACCAAACAAAGGAATGACCAGTCACTATGATGCTCACTGACCACCAGGGAGCAGATGCTCAATGCAGGAGCTGCCCCCTGGTGGTCAGTGCAGTCCCACAGGGGGAGTGCTGCTCAGCCAGGAGCTGGATGGACATATATATACCCCAACGGGTCTTGGACTGTGAGAGGGAGGGTGCAGGCCGGGCTGAGGGTCCCCCCCCTCACCATGCCCTCTATCCCCCCAGATTTGTGCACTGGACATTTAGTAGTTATATAAATTTCCAAATAACAACATTCAATTTAGTCTTCCTAAAACTTAAATTTATATCTGTAGAAATTTTATCCCTTTGTGGGCAATATAATTCATTTGGTGAATTTATCAGCAATACCACTAGATGTCACTGGCGATCTATCTGTATAGAAATACTAGTAAATTGTTGAGTCCTGTTTATTTGGAGGATGAGAAGCATGGAGCCAAAGGGAACATGCTGGTAACTAACATCTTGATGCTCTCAGAAAGAGCAATTTTCAATTAGCTGAAAAACAGGCTTTTTACTAGAACACAGTGTAGCTTCGGGTATAGAACATGTATAATTTGCACATATAAAAAGCCTGCTTGGATTGGCTGAGTTAGAGAGGCGGTCTATTAAAAAAAGAACTGGTGTTGCCTCGGAAGTGGGGGGTAGCCTTATACAGCGAATATAGGCCTAAACCTATGTTTTAACTGTAAAATTAGGGGGTCATCTTATACGCCGGAAAATATGGTAATATACAAAATAGTAGTGGCTAACATTTATTACATTAAGCAGTTAAGTCTCAGTCACTTTACATGTATTAACTTACTAGGGACCAGGTGCATGAAATTCATGCATAGGGGAGGATTAGGGTTAGGGTTAGAATGTCCCTCACCTAGCTATACCCTCTTAGGCAGGGAGTAGGCCTAAACAAGTGGTCAGAAATCCCTCTTGCAATCTGAGACCACTGGCTCCTAACAGCTCACCTGCCTGCCAGCCTGATCATCCCTAACCACTCTGCCTGCCTGCCTGATGCCCCTAACTGCTCTCCCCTACTGGACTGATTTCCCTAACTCTTCTCTCCTAACTTCTCTCCCCTGCTGGCCTGATCCCCCTAACTGCCAACCTCCCACTCTGTCTCCACAACTGATTTTTGACAAAAGTAGAAAGATAAATAATATGCTTTCAACATATGGTGTTGGAACAATTGGTTTTATGTGAATATGAAAGGAGAACTTGATAAATTAGACCTTCATTGAAATAGAAAGCTATGCTCTTCAAAAGATACTGTTAAAAAAATTAAAAGATAAGAAACAGACTGGAGGAGTTTACTTCCAAAGCATACCTTGATAACATGTATATACAGAATATATAAAGAGCTCTCAAAAGTCAATAATTTAGTGAAAATAAAAACAACCCAATTAAACAAAGCCCAGTCCTAGCTAGATTAACATAAATCCTCTGGTCTTAACAACGAATAAAAGTGAGCAAATGAAAAATTAATGTTTTTCTTGACCTATGAAAGAACTGAGGTTGCAAGGAAAACCACCGTTAAAAAATATGGAGAGAGAATCAAATTCAGAATCACAATCAATATCTACTTACCTGAAAGATAAATTATCGGAGCCATAGATAGTAAATTTGCTGAATTTCTGAAAATACAAATCAAAACAAAAAACCCCCACAAACAAACCACAAATAAATGAAATGAAACTATATGAAAAGGAAGACTTTTAAATGGAAATGCTACACACAGGATTCAGGATAAACTTTACATCAGGTTGGAGCAGGAAAGGAAATGGGATAAAGGTGAATTATATGGTCAGATGTAGGTGATTGTTAAAGCTGTAACTTTGTTTGGGGTGGTGGATTTGCATATGAAAGATAGCTATTTAAATACTTTATAATTGTATTGTGTTTAGATCAAAATTGAGATTGTGTCTCAAGCCACAAGTTATGATTCAACCATTTTATCCATTTAAAGTTTATTCAAAGGAAAAAGGCTAGATTTTGAAAAGAATATTTTATTTCAAATCTTTCTAGACAAAATTTGAGTATCCACATAGAAACAAAGTCGTCATCCTCACAATACCATTCATCCAGTTAAAAAGAAATTCTTAGGTAACATTTTTATCAAAGAAATTATGAGCAAGGGGACAAAAATGAAAGGTGAATTTCCTGTATGTGGAATAGTTAACCACATGATGGCAATGTTGAGAAAGTAGTGATTTTAAAAAGTGTTAATGGTTTATACTGGAAGCTGAGTAAATCACTGAGATATAATTGACACATTAGTGAGATTGGCAGATATCTGTAGCCACTTATGTCTCTCCACTTAGACTCAGGTTAAATCCATCTCAAGAGTTTTTTTAGTCTCTCAAATCTATGTAGTACATCTTTCTGAGTAGTTGCTTTCACAAAAAGGTTATCCTATATAATAAAAGGCTAATATGCAAATCAGCTAAACCGTAGAACAACTGGTCGCTATGACGTGCACTGACCACCAGGGGGCAAATGCTTAACGCAGGAGCTGCCCCCTGATGGTCAGTGCATTCCCACAGGGGAAGCACTGCTTGGCCAGAAGCCCTGAGCTGAGCTCACAGCTGGCAAGTGCAGTGGCAGTGGTGGGAGACTCCTGCCTCCGCAGCAGTCAGGCATCCAAACTGCGAGAGAATGCAGGCTGGGTTGAGTGACTCCCTGAGTGCACAAATTTCATGCACCAGGCCTCTAGTATTATATAACAAGATGATTTACTTCTCAAAGTATATTTAAAATCTGGAATTCTTGAGCTACAGAGGTTATTATATTTTCTTTTTCACACTTTTTCTTTTCAAATGATATTCTCAACTATTTTCTAGTGTATTCATCTTGGATCAAGAATTTATCAAAATCAAAAGACTTTTTTAAACATCCCTCTTTCTAATATACCCTGTTTCCCCGAAAATAAGACAGTGTCTTATATTAATTTTTGCTCCCAAAGATGCGCTAGGTCTTATTTTCAGGGGATGTCTTATTTTTCCATGAAGAAGAATACGGCACACATTTATTGTTAAATGAAAATAAAGGAAATTTATTACCTGTATACGGTACGGTAGTTCTGTAGTTGTCAACACAAACCAGACAAACGGTGAATCCTACAGTATCAAGAATTTACTCATTTATTCAATGACAATCATGTCATCATCTTCTGTAACATTATCATAACAATCCAATTTTTGAATTTCCGGGTGAATTTCTTGTGACTCCATTTCTTTCAGAATCAGTGGACCAAATCTCTCATGTTTAGCCTAGGGGGGGCCTTATTTTCCGGGGATGCCTTATATTTCACTCAGAAGGAAACCTGTAAGTAGGTCTTATTTTCGGAGAATGTCTTATTTTTGGGGAAACATGATACATACAGCTCTGGTGGGTTTGTAAATTGGGCATGGTGGGGTCTCAGGGAATCACTTGGGTGTGGCATACAGCGATGGCTGCCTGTCAGCTCTTTCTACATCTCCACGTTTCCTTGTCCCCACATCCCACGCCCTAGCAGTAAACAATGATTCCTGCGAACACCTCTGCAAGGAAGCCACCCTCACTTTTCCATCTGATGCCAGACAGTCTAGCTTTTCCCTGTAGGAGTCTGGGTCCCTAGAGTCTCGCCAGAAACTGGAGTTCAGAGCAGTAGGGAGCTTGTATCTCCTTTCTGATAGAAAAAAAACAGTACACCAGTTTCCAGTCCAATTTGTGTGCCTCTGTACCTCAGCTTTTCCATGCCTCTGCACGTCCTACCCAGTCTCAATGCACTTTTTTATTTCCTTCTAGTTGTGGAACTTCTACTCAGCCAGCTTTCCCGTGGTTCTGGGTGATAGTCATTTTGTCTTTTAGTTGTAGTTTGGTGTGGTTGTGAGAGGCAGCATGTACAGGTATATACCTTATGCCGCCATCTTGGTTTCCCACTAATAACTATTTTTAACACTAACCAAGCCCTTTTAATCTGGAATGCTAGAAATATTTATTTATTTATTTATTTATTTATTTATTTATTTATTTATTATTTTTTAATGCCCCCCTCCCTCCCTCCCAAACATACCTTCCCTCCCCAGAGTTTTATGTCCATTGGTTGTACTTATATGCATGTATACAAGTCCTTTGGTTGATCTATTATCTCCCCCAGATCTCCCTCCCCTCCCCACCACAATTTGACAGTCCGCCCATTGCTCCACTGTCTATATCTATCTTTTGGTTCATCAGTTTATAATGTTCTTTATTATCTGTAAATGAGTGAGGTCATGTGGTGTTTCTCTTTCATTGATTGGCTTATTTCACTCAGCATGATGTTCTCCAATTCCATCCAGATTGCTGCAAATGATGAGAATTCTTTTTTATGGCAGCATAGTATTCCATTGTGTAGATGTACCATTATTTTTGATCCAATCATCTGCTGACTGTTTCCAAATTCTGGCTATTGTAGATTGTGCTGCTATGAACATAGGGGTGCATATATCCTTTCTGATTGGTGTTTCTTGGGATATATTCCTAGGAGTGGGATTACTGGGTCAAATGGGAGTTCCATTTTCAGTTTTTTGAGGAAACTCCACACTGTTCTCCACCAGTCTGCATTCCCACTAGCAGTTCACGAGGGTTCCTTTTTCTCAGCACCCTCGCCAACACTTGTCGTTTGTTGATTTGTTGATGTTGGCCATTCTGACAGGTGTGAGATGGTACCACATTGTTGTTTTGATTTGCATCTCTCGGATAATTAGTGACTTTGAGCATGTTTTCATCTGCCTTTTGGCCTTCCTTCTGTCTTCTTTTGAAAATATCCTATTTAGGTCCATTGCCCATTTTTTAATTGGATCATTCATCTTCCTTTTATTTAGTTGTATCAGCTGTCTGTAGATGTTGGAGATTAAACCTTTATCAGTGGTATTATTTGCAAATATGTTCTCCCACACCATGGGCTGTCTTATTGTTTTGTTGATGGTTTCTTTTGCTGTAAAAAAGCTTTTTATTTTGATGTAGTCCCATTTGTTTATTTTCTCTTTAGCTTCCATTGCCCTAGGGGCAGTATCAGTGAAGAAGTTCTTTTGGCATATGTCTGAGATGTTGCTGCCTGTGGATGCTTCTAGTATTTTTATGGTTTCCCGTCTGATGTTTAAGTCCTGTATCCATTTTGAGTTTATTTTTCTGTATGGTGTAAGTTGGTGATCTAGTTTCATTCTTTTGCATGTGTCTGTCCAATTTTCCCAACACCATTTATTGAAGAAACTGTCTTGACTCTATTGTATATTCATGCCTCCTTTGTCAAATATTAATTGAGCATAGTGATTTGGGTTGATATCTGGGTTCTCAATTCTATTCCATTGATCTATATGTCTGTTCTTGTGCCAGTACCAGGCTGTTTTGAGAACAGTGGCTTTGTAATACAGTTTGAGGTCTGGTATTGAGATCCCTCCTACTTTGCCCTTCTTTCTCAGGATTGCTGTGGCTATTCGGGGTCTTTTATTGTTCCAAATGAACTTTTGGAGAGTTCTTTCTAGGTCAGTGAAATATGCCGTTGGTATTTTAATGAGGAGTGCATTGAACCTATAGATTGCTTTAGGAAGTATGGACATTTTGATGATGTTGATTCTATCAATCCATGAACATGGTATGTTCTTCCATCTGTTTACATCTTTATCTCTTTTCTTCAGTGTCGTGTAGTTTTCCGCATACAGGTTCTTTACTTCCTTAGTTAAATTTATTCCTAGGTATCTTAATTTTTTTGGTGCGATGGTAAATGGAATTGCTTTTTTAGTCTCTGTTTCTGTAATTTCACTGTTGGTGTATAGAAATGCCATGGATTTCTTGGCATTAATTTTGTATCCTGCTACATTGCCAAATTCATTTATTAAGTCAATTAGCTTTTTAATGGAGTCTTTTGGGTTTTTTATGTACAATATCATGTCTTGTGCAAATAAGGATAACTTTACTTCTTCTTTTCCAATTTGGATGCCTTTTATTTTCTCCTCTTGTCTAATTGCAATGGCTAGTACTTCCAGTACTATGTCAAACAGGAGTGGCGAGAGTAGGCATCCCTCTGTCTTGTTCCTGATCTTAGAGGGAATGGTTTTAGTTTTTGCCCATTGAGTATGATGTTGGCTGTGGGTTTATCATATATAGCTTTTATTATGTTGAGGTATGATCCTTGTACTCCCACCTTGTTAAGAGTTTTTATCAGGAAAGGGTGTTGGATTTTATCAAATGCTTTTTCTGCATCAATTGATATGACTATATGATTCTTATCTTTCAATTTGTTTATGTGATGTATCACATTTATTGATTTGCGGATATTGTACCATGCTTGCATGGAATGCTAGAAATATTTAATGAAAGCCTATTTGTGAAAGTATAGTAAAACATAAATTTAAATATGCAAGCTTATTGAGGCAAAGACTTATCATCTGGGTGTTCCCAAATCTCATTGGTATTGTTTTATTTTATAGACTTTTCCCTTCCACCAGGCCAGCCACTATGGCCCTGTACTTGTCTATTCTCTTACAGCAATTAAAGGCAGGCATTGGTCAAGAGCATTTTGTATTACTATTTTGGTGTTAAGAAAAATAAAAGAATAATGATTTATAAGTGATCTGGTAGTAGATCCTCACATTTCATTTTCTATACCTCCAAATTAAAAAGAAAAAAATATTGTAAAATTAGACCAATTGTATTTACTTTTCAGATCATGTGGATGAGCGAACAGTATGTAATGGAATTGCCCCTGAAAAAGATGTAGATGGATTTCATATTATCAATATTGGAAGACTATGCCTTGATCAGCATTCTCTTATACCTGCCACTGCCAGTGCTGTTTGGGAAATAATCAAAAGAACAGGTTGGTAATTTGTGGTCTACAGTACGTGGGTGCTAAGAACCAAACTGAGAACTTGTGTGTTGCCTTGATGGAACCACTTCAATCCCACTGAGTCTGTAGAAAGATATAAAGTTCTGTAAGTCAAAGAAAAATCCAAAATAAGCTAAACGGAGCTTACAGGTAACCACTCTTGCATCTTGTGGGGAGTGAATTTTTTAATAGTAGGTTTACCTCCCTACTTTTAATCTAAAAACAATGTATTTTGATATACATTTTCTAAAATGTTTTGTATTTTTCCTTACCTTTAAAAACAGAATGTGCTGAACATACTTGAATCATCTGTAATGACCTAGGGTTTTATTACAAACATTTATCCTTGAATTGTGCTCTAATTGACCTCTACATTAATTGACCCCTAAGGCAATATGGTGTCAATTAATGTAGAGGCAAACATCTCTGTTCACCTGTGAGAGCTCCACCACTGTCACTTCCATTTCTAACAGCATCTCCTTTCTAATCTACTGTTTTTCAAATGAAAGAGAAAATTTCCAAAGGAAAGCAAATCCTAGAATTATACTCTGTTAATATTAGTATTTGGAAAAAAACCCCACAATATCCTTAATTCAAACTTCTTCATTTTACTTAGGAGAAACTATGCCCCAAAGTGGTAAATAGGGTTAAATCTGTAAGATTTATCTTTCATACTTCTTTAAGTCCCTAAGTTTAGTGCTTCTTTCCTATGACATTAAGGGCATGAGCTTTGAGGAAAACACTCTCCTCACTTATTTTGTTCCAGTTGTGCTCAAAGTGTTATTGCCAATGAAATGACATTGTTGTACTTTGCCTATTTTGTAATTAGCAGTTAATATATTTAAGTCTCAGTACCTCTAACTCTTCATGTAAACCTTAATATTTAAAAAGCAATTTAATGGCAACTTGAAACTCTTTGTGATTTTTTTTCCATGAGGTCATAATCAGAAAGGAAGTGACAAATCTAAGGGGTATAAAATAAATATTTATAAATAATCAATGTGGACACATTATAGATAAACCATATAATCAATTCAATTAGATAATTTTAAAGAATGTTTCAGTTGGCTGTTCCAATGTGTATTTACTTCCTGTTGATTATTTAAATCAAACTCTGTGTTTTAAGGAATTGAAACATTTGGGAAAAATGTGGTTGTGGCTGGAAGGTCCAAGAATGTAGGGATGCCCATTGCCATGCTTCTACACACTGATGGAGAACATGAACGACCAGGAGGTAGGTGGGACCTTTGAGATTCCATATACCTTTACAACTTTTTTACTTCTTAAATTAATAAAAGCTAGATGTTTGAAATTGTGTATTTGTAGGTTTATTTGTAGGTTTATTTGACATTGTATTTGTAGGTTTATGCAAAAGAAGATGTTCTTTATTTCTCATCTAATGACATAAGCATATTGAAAGTGAGTAAAGGAATTACTAGAAATATGTGGCCTCTTTGTTTCTATTTTTTCTTTTCTTTTTTCTTTTTTTTAATTTATTTTATTGATTTTTGTACAGAGAGGAAGGGAGAGAGATAGAGAGTTAGAAACATCAGTGAGAGAGAGTCATCGATCAGCTGCCTCTTGCACACCCTCTACTGGGGATATGCCCGCAACCAAGGTACATGCCCTTGACCGGAAACGAACCCGGGGCCTCTCAGTCCCCAAGCCGACGCTCTAGCCATTGAGCCAAACCAGTCCCAGCTGTTTCTATTTTTTCTTTCTGGGGATGGTAGTCTGCATCTTCAGGGTTCATCTTTGGACACTATTTTTTTCAGAGCACTGCTTCTGCATTGGTGTTCAGTTTTTGCACTCAGCTGCCCTTCAGTTGCAACTTTCTGTATATCAGGTACTTTTTATTCAAGGAGCACCTGTGTCAATGGAAAACCACAAGATATTTGCTAGTAGAATGCCTTTGCTTTGTGAAAATTGACTCCAGATGGGAAATAAACAGTTTTGCCAGCCAAGAGCATTGTCTCCATCCTACAGGAGGTGCCTTCAGGTAGTAATACAGGAGTGGATGTTCAAGTGCCACATGGTGTGTGTTGTGTGGTTAAGGTCAGTTCAGTGCCAGGTGGGACCAGGCACTCTAGGGTTTTAAAGAGAGGAGCCAAATAGAATCACCTAGAAATGCAGAAGTCATGCAGAGCGATTACTTCTAAAACTCTTAGCCTTGGAAGTGGAGTGGAATGCTGCCTCTGTGGAATGAATCATTGTCAAACTGTGGCAGGGAGGATGGCAGGCATTTGTCTCTGCTCTCCCCAACCCATGATCCTAAGTTAGAAATTCTCATGATGAGATACTAGGATATTGTTTTGTGATGCTTCTTTGTTGATTAGACTTTACTGAATTATAGCTTTGAGTTTGCATAGTGGAAAGCAATAGAAAAATACAAACATATTCGTGTCTCCTTTTCTCAGCTGCATAGTAAGAGTATTGTCCAATTTCCAACATCTCTGAAATTCAGCCAGATAGGATCTGAAAACACTGTACTTGGAAAATATGTATTCTCACATCAAACAATGGGGACTATTACACTGTTGAAACTAACATTAAACATTATTTAAAATGTAGAGTGAAGCCCAAATCTTTTTCTCTCCCTTTCATTTTCTTTCTCGCCATGACCTTGGAGGCATTTATTATACTACCAGCACAACCGTCCTTTTCCTAAAATCGGTATGCCTAATTGTTAAAGGCATCATTCATAAGGCTATTGTGGTCTGCTTCAACCTATGTTTCAGCCATTCCTTCTATCATTTTCTTTCTGGTACCTTATGCAGAAGCCCCATAGAATTATACTTTGTTTCCTAAACACATTGTCTCTTCCACACGTCTTTGCTATTGCATACCCCATTGCATGCCAATTCTCATTTCTCATCTGCTTTTTTCTCACTTCTCACCACCTTTCCACACGTGGCCCAAATCTTCTAAGTTTTGCACATTGTCTATGCTGTTGACACAATACTGGGACTATTGCATATCAGTTATCTATCTGTGAAATTCTCAATTCTCTTTTTGTATCTTTGAAGTATAGCACAGGGCTTGGTATGTTATAATACATCTAGTCAATTAATAAAAGTTTATTTAGTATCTCCAATATGCCAACTACTGTACCAGTATTATAGAAAGTAAGACCACAGGCAAGGGTCTTAAAATAAAATACTGTCATTTATTGAAAAAAAAAATCTTGTATAGAAGCAAGGAAGGGGAGGAGGGAGACAAGCTAGGTACTTACCACACACAAATTTCTTAATATTCTAAAACTATAGGCATTTATGTAGAAGTATTACTTAAGTTTCCCTTTTCCCCAAGAATCAATTCACAGGGGTGAAAGGTGCCTCATCACCATCAGTAATGGAAGAGGAGATGTCAGGACACTGGGAAGAGAAGGGAAGTGGTTGCTGACGGCATTCATTAAAAGAGGTCACAGTGTTTTCCAGTAAAACATCTAGAGCCTATCATTTTGTTTAGACTAACTCGTTTTTCCTCGAGCTGCTGACATGTAATGCTGCATTCTTACAGATGGACTGATTTCTTGATCACTAAGCATAGGGCATATTATGGTGACTAAGTCAGATATTGCCCTGTTCTTTTAAGCTTATAATCTATTAAGAAAGACAGCCATTAAACTAATTATCTATGAATGATTAATCACTGTAATTGTGCAAAGTGCTGCAAAGAAGTAGCATTTTCTGTAATAAAAAGCTTAGTTGAAGGAAGGGATGAACTATTTCTAATTACAGTTATATATGAATTTTAGCCCCCTTTTTTGTCTACCTTCTGTTACTGTTTATTTTTATTATTTGCTTTTTGTTACTAATTTTCATTTCTCACCTCACAGGGAAAAATAAAACATCTCCTACTTGAAGTTATTAAAAGTATCTAAGATCTAGAAGAAAAATATGTATTCTCTACAGAAAGAATAACTCATGCCATAAATATAAATGATTATATGGTGACTTAAAATTTTTTAGTTAATGCCAGTGTTATTTTATAAAGTTACTAAATGCTAAAAAAAAGAAAAAGGAGTGTAGGCCCCATTTTTGATCAATAAATATCTCTGAAGTTTATTCTGTTTATTATTCTTATAGTTTGTTGCTCTTCTTTTATCTGAGGTCCTGTTTCCCTGTGTGAATTTTCCTGCAGATTTTCAGGACTAACCAGAATTGCTTCCATTTTCTCCTCCCCTTATCACCATTCTGATTTAACCTCTTACCTACATCATCCTTCAGCATTCCAAATAGTCATTGTTCCCTCCTACTCAGGTGGAACTTTCTTTAGCAGGCTTCTCTGATCATCTCTCCCACTCCACCCCACACACCATCATAGACATACTGAAGAACTTCTCTTTATAACATTTATCAGTTTGTAATTTTCACTTCCTTGTGTCATTATTAGATTAATGTTGATTACACTCACTGGACAATTAGTTCCACAAGAGTGAAGACCAGATCTGTGTTTTTACCCATTTTATCTTCACTCCACAAGAGTGAAGACCAGATCTGTGTTTTTACCCATTTTATCTTCATTTATTGCACAAAAGACTTTGTGCAATAAATGAATAATTTACTTTATTTGTAGACCAAGGGTATCATAAAATATTTAATACAGCTATTCCTAATGTATAATTAGGAACACTGACACACCACAAGATCTTAAATAGGTTTTAATTTAAAAAAAGAAATTGGTCAAATAGGTTTGAAAAAGCTGTATTAAACAGAACCAAACTTGTTTAATGATTATTCCCAGAGGTTTTACTATAGTAATATAGGAAGCACGGCATCTCTGAAAGAATAATAATAATATTTAGTATTGGATCCTGGAAGTTGTTGTTTTTCTTCAAACAGGCTGTGTGGGGCGACCAGGCTGCCAGGGGGGTTAGTGAGGGGCAACCAAACAACTGAACAGTAGGCTGTGTGGGCTACCATGCCTGTAGAGGAGCAGTTGGGGGCATCCACACCAGCAGGGGGTACAGTGAGGGATGACCAGGCCAGTGGGTGGGACAGTTGGGGGCTACTATGCCTGCAAGGAAGGCAGTTGGGGGTAACCAGGCCAATGGATGGGGGGAGGGCAGTTAGGTAGAATCAGACAGGCAGGCAGGTGAGCAGTTAGGAGCCAGGGGTCCCGGATTGTGAGAGGGATGTCGAGGAGTCCTGGATTGGAGAGGGTACAGGCTAGGCTGAGGGAATCCCCCATGCACGAATTTTGTGCACTGGGCCTCTAGAGAGAGAGAGAGAGAGAGAGAGAGAGAGAGAGAGAGAGAGAGAGAGAGAGAGAGAGAGAGAGAGAGAGAGAGAATGTGTGTGTGTGTGTGTGTGTGTTGCTGTGTTTGTACGAGTATGCCCCAGAGGTCCACCCTTCTCCCAGAGGAAGGATGACTGAGAGGGCAGTAACAGAGGTTACTTTAAGATGTCTACATTTTTTCTTTCTCAAATGCAAGAGCCTTGGGAATGTTTATTAGTATTTAGCTTTAGTCTATGACCTTGTAAGCATGTTTATAGAGTCAGATATTCTCGTAAGATTCCTGAGTTTATTTTCATCTGTTAATCTTGAAAAGCAGGAAATAAATGCAATAATTAAATAAAACTTTAACAGACAGACCCCATACACACATCTTTTAATCAGAACAACTAGAAAGGGAAGAGCAATACTTTGACTCATGCTCTCACTTGGCCCCTGTTACATGGCTGAGCTGGCGATTCATTTTGTCTAGGCTTTAGGGGGGTCTGATTGCTTTAAAATTTAGTTGATTTTTTTTTCCTTTCTAAAATCTGTTTCGTAATCATGAGTACTGCCCTCAACCCTGACCTGGCAACTTGGTACCATGAGCATTTGGTCACCTGGGGAATTTATTCATTTGGATACTAATACATTTCATTCCTATTAATAGGACAATAATCCTAAAAACATAAGTCTTTAAAACTCCTACTTTCATGTATAACTGCCAAGATGCTCACACCACAGTTGCAGTCCAGAGTGGTGAAGATTGGCACCTGGAATAAGCCTGGTATGAAGAAGCACAAGCTCTCTGGTCACATTGCCAGAGGTCACACTCTGTTTATGCATTTTTCTGTTTGATAAGGATATATGAGGGTCTTGGGAGAATTAAATGAGCTAATATCTTTAAAGAACTTAGTGTTTCCACATGGTAAATACTCAATACATATTTGCTACTACGGTCTCCTTATTCTAAAAAGTATTTAAAGTGGGCCATAGCAATATCTAAAACACAATGCC